CCTGGGCCTTGCCCGAGATCCTGGTCAGTTTTGGAGAAGGTGGGGCAGAGTTGGAGACACAGCTTCCAGGCCAGTAGTGCCCAGTTACATCTGGCTGAATCCAACTACTCACTGGAACCTGCTTTAAGGGGCTTCATCACCAAACCACCCCTGGTTCCTCAGTGCAGCCACTCTTCCCCGACCCTCCCTTCCTAGAATCAAACCACAAGGCTGACAGGACAGGAAGCTGGGAAATTCCCATCCCCCTTCCTCTTGCCCACCTGCAGAAGATCACAATCTCAGCTCTAAGGGTGGTCTGGGAGGTCCTGAGTCAGGACCTTGCCCTGATGACCACAGTCAGTCACCCAGGAGACCCTGGCCTGATGGGGGACCATTCAGCATAAACAGCAGACCCCTGGCCTCACATATGTGTCTGCCTTCTCCAGACCCCAACAGTCGAGAGCTCATGGGGTCCTACATCCCCACAGTAGTCAGCAAGATGGCAGGCACACTCCCAGGCAGTTTCCTCAGGCACTGTTCACCATCTGAGCTGCCATCCTTCCTGCAGCCTACTCAGCACACCTTGCAAAACCTGAGCCTTCTGCAGTGGATAGCCCAAGAAAATCTAGACCACTGGCCCAAGGCACTATGGGAGCCCAGAGTACAAGAGAAGAAAGGAGAGATGGCTTGGTTTCCTTGGAGGGTGGGGAGACATTTGAGTTAAGAGGAGAGGGGAGCATGGCAAGCAGAGCGATGGCAGGAGCAAAGGCTTTGTGCTGAGAGGGTGAGCGACCCAGGAGGGTGGAGCTTGGAATGGCCAAAGTGACTGGTATTGGTCAGAGTGGCCGGTGTGGCCAGTGTGGCTGGTGTGGAAGGGCAGGGGTGGGAGGTGATGGTGGTAGAGAGATGGACTGAGCTCTCATCCCATTCTACCCTAGGAGGGAGGCTGCTAGGGCTGGGGAGGTCGACTTTGTTCTGCTCACTCCTGCTGATCCAGTCCCATTCCCACACATGCCCCACACAGCACGGTCTGCCATTTCTGGGAGTGACTTCCAACTACCCAGACAAAAAAGTCATGGATGACAGGGATCATCTAAGTCTCTTTTCCAGGCTCCACTCCAGTCAGCCTGTATTTAGATCTACCTAGATCTGTGGAATCTTCCCCTCACCCCAAGCTTCAGCAGTTCTCTTTTGGCTCCCTGGACCTTCTCTCAAGGACCTTCAATGTAGGCACAAAGTAATCCCAGGGCCTTTGCAGAGTTTGACCCAAGGCACCCACATGCTAGCTGAAGTCTAGTCTGCTTAGCATGGCTGCAGGCTCAGCCCTGGGCAGCACCTTTCCCTTCTGGCCACATCAGGGTTCAGTGACTCAGCTTCCAAACATAAGACACTAGGAACAGGTGCCCTGCCCCACACATTTACCACCCTGGAAGAGGGGGCTGGGATTTGCTCCCATGAGTCCTTGGGTCTGACTATGATCTCCGTGGGAGATCTCAGTATCTGTTCATGTCTGTCCTCCCATGTCCACCAGACTGGGAGCTCTTCAAGAGTTGAGAAAACCAAGTCTCCTGTGATTCCAGAGCAGGTGCCAGGATAGGTTTGTTGATTAAATATATAAGTGTAGCTCAGCCTAGCCCACTGGGTATGGAAAGAGGAGAAGGCACAGGTTGGGGATATGATCAGGGGGCAGTGCAGGCTATGCCACAAGCTCCCTCATCTTGGAGCCCTATCTGTAAGATGGAGGGGATCGATTAAGATCATAGAGTTTTCAAAAGACAATCGTACTATAGAAGTGCAAGAGAGCTGACTACCATGATCTCCTCCCAGTGTCTGGCTGGGATGTTCTTCCAGGCATCTGACCTAAATCCCTCCCAGTATGAAAGCTGGTTCTGACATTGCTACCTCCTGCAGACACACTGTCTTCAGGGGGCTCCAGGGGTTAGGGAGATATGAACAGCCTGAAAACGATCTTCTGTCCTACCAAGTCCTTAATTGGCAGTATTAAAGTAATGAGTCACAGACAACAACCAATTAATTATTCCTGGTTATAAAAAGTTCCACTTCCCTTCCTTGCCAGTGAGCTGCCCCCCGCAGTCATGTTCCTCCCCATGTCTGAGAAGAGGTCATTTCATGCCTGTGCTCCAAGTTTCCTGTTTCCAAGTAGGGCATCCTGGGGGAAGGACCAAGGCAGGCACAGGTGGGCAGGAGAGTGCCAGTGTGAAGGGATTCTTTTCCAAGCTCTCTGTCATCTGCTCATCTCCAAGGTCAGCTTTGGAACCAAGCTGGCCTGATCAGAAGATTCCAGCCTGGCCTTGAAGAACACCCCTGCCTTGCCCGAGATCCTGCTCCTCAGTGGGCAACATCCTGAGTCTGCTCCCAGCTGCCCCCTTTCTCCTGGCAGTGAGCTCTCCTCATGTAAGCAATAATACAAATGATCTTTCCCCAGCTTTCTGCCTCTCAGAGACTGCTGCTATGGTTGGCTTCCTGTACAGCAGCTCTGTGCCTGGATTCCATCCACGAAGTGGGCACACAGTTAAATGTGGGAACGGACTGTTAGAACAGTTAATGGGACAGTACATGTAAACCATTCACTACCTGCATGCAGTTGATGTTCAATAGTGTTAACTCTTATTATGATTCTCCAATTTATTTCCTATCCCTAGGATGAGAAGGGCAAACCCCAGTAACTCACCCACCCACCTGCCTATTTCATGGGTGAGGACCAGAGGGTGGGTTTCTGAGTCTGGGAATGTGGGATGGGGAGCTATAGGGGCTCCCTTCCCTTGCAGTGAGGCCTCTGTTCCCCAGACCTAACATACAGTGTATGAATGTAAAGTCTCTGTTCTGCATCAGCCTCTTTTGTTTTTTGTTTTGTTCTGTTTTGAGACAGGGTCTCATGTAACTCAAGCTAGCCTCCAATTCTCTAAGTAGCTGAAGATGACCTTGAACTTCTGATACTCCTGCCTCCACCTCCTGAGTGCTGAGATTACAGATATGTACTCTCACGCCTGGATTATGTGGTCCTGGGAAACGTACCCAGGGCTTCCTGCTTGCTAGGCAAGTACTCTACCAACTAAGCAACAGTCCCAGCCTGCACCAGCTGTCTTCTGAGACCACAGATTGCTGCTCCCTTTACTGTGCCTGGCTAGAAAGCCCAACACAGCTTTATCACGGTTCCGACTCATTTGTGGCAGGGGGAAACAGGAGAGGAGAGAAACGGTGTGCCTGCAAGTGGGAGAGGAAGGGGGTGGTGAGCCGCAGAGGCTGTGACTTTCCGGTTCCCTGAGCTCAGCCATCTGCAAAGACCGCATGAGGCCTTGGCCATTCCTTCAGCCTTGTACACCTAGCACCTCAGATTCTGGGATCTCCATACACCCAGGCTCCTAGTCACTGCCTCATCTTATTTCTTCCACCCAGGGTCCTGTGCTCACCACAACTGAGACCCTTCATTTCTTGACTTATGGCCTATGAAGGTCAGCCTAGGCCAGCCTGGGCTGGGAGATACTCCTTTCTCCAGCCCTGCTTGGATGGCCAGTGAGCTTTCTATTAGGAGTTTGGTCATCTCTCCATTGCCTCCCCTGCCTTCCACCCCAACTCTGCTCCTATCACTGTATGATTTTGCTCTGGTCCCTGTCTTCCCTGCCTTCTACCTCCTGATGGACCACAGACTAGGAGGAACAGGAATGCTACCTGTCTGTACAGCACTGGCTCACAGAGCACACAGGGTACCAGCCCCAGGGAGGCCAGGCCAAGCAGGATTGCTGCCTATCCCAGGCCCTGAACAGGGAAGGCTACTATAGAGCAAAGTGGATGGCAGAATGCTGACATTATTGTCAGTGATGGAGCAGCCAAGACTTGGCACCTGAAATGACTCAACCTAATGGTTACTTACAGGTGGTACCATGACAATCACTTAACACCTCTGTCTCAGGTGTTCACACCTCTCCCTCTCAGTACATAGTTCATGGCCACTGGTGACTAGTAGAAAAGGCACCACTGACCTTCGGTCTGCCAACTCTGGTCTCCACTTCTCCCTGGCAGAAAAATCCTGTCCACCCTAGAGGGAAGGGCACACCATATAGTGCCCTGGATGCTGACCTAGGCTGAGGCCTGGGTGGAAGATGGGCTCTGTCCTGGCAGTGCTGGGGCTGCTCTGTGGCCTTGGCCATGCCCCTTCCTCTCCTTGGCCCTGTTGGGTCATGTTTTCTCTTCTGTTCTGGGAGTGGGGATTATGGTAAGGAGCCAGGTTTGGGTCTACTCTGGTGGTCCATGCTCCTCACAGTTTTGGAGTCATATGCCAGGCTCCTGACTCATTCTATCAGTCCATCTCCAGCATGAACAGACGGCAGGCAGGTGGACAAGTACCCTGACCCCCCAATTCTGACAGCCTGGCTGAGCCTTCAACCATAGCTGCTACACCCTTGAGACTGGTGAATTCAGAGGCTGGCTTCTTTGTTCCGACAAGCAAGAGGGAGGAGAAAAGCTGTTCTCCAGGCAGCAAAGCTTTTAGATAAACACCACACAGAAATTGGGTTCCTTAGGAGAAGAAACCAGATCCACCAGCTGATAGCGCCCCAGGGATAGGAGTGCGGCTTGCTCTTGCCGGGAAGCCAACACTGAGGCCTCTTTATTCAGCTTAGCACCTGCTGTCAGCCCTGGCAGGCTGGAAGCTCAGGTGACTGGGCCCTGGTGCCAGACCAGGGCCCCATCAGATCCCAGGCTCCAAGATGGTCAGGCCCACCTCCTTAGCTTGCCATCACCACCCACCCGTCCTTCCAGATCTGTGGGAGGCTGAGAAGTCTGCTCCCTTTGGGGTGACTCCTCCTCACTGGCCCACCTGGAATCACTGTGAGCCCATTTCACAAAGGGAGGACCCTGGAAGGGCTATGGCCTATCCAGAACCACACAGAGACGGCTGAACCCAGGTCGTTCTTAGTGCTGGGACCCATCACTGAGCTGTCGGGGTTGGAGAACAACACTGAGCTCTTGGGGGCCTCTCACTCCATCCCAGGGAAGCTCACCGGTGTGGTGTCATCATGTGAGCGTTGGTAGCGTTTCCAGCGGCAGCCGTAGATGCCCGTGAGGCAGGAGAGGCACAGTTGAGGCTCATAGTATTGCAGGGGCTGGTGTCTCACCATACTCGTGCCCGCAGCCCTGGCGCCCTACCCTCAAGCGCCCATGGAGGCCCCTGGCTCGTCCTGCGGGAGGAAGCACAGGGCTGTGAGGCAGTGGAAGGATGAGGAGTTGGTTTAACACTCCAGAAATCGTGGTGGGCTGTCCTCTGCTGGAAGCACTGAAGTAGGTTGTCTCCCCTGGAGAGACAGCCATCCTTGAAGGTCCCTGAGACCTGTCCCTGCCACTCACTAATGACATCATCCTTTTTACTCCTTCCCTCCTCCAGTCCCATTTCCAGGCTTGTCACACTTGTCTAGCACGATGCTCTTCCCACCGCCTCTTCCCTTAGAAACCTGCATGGCTCCCTCTTTCCCCTTCTCTTTCTGATTTATTTTCCCCTTCGAATGTCCTATTTTCTCTATGTATCTGTGTCTCTGTTACCCCTTTTTCTCTCTGTCTTTCTATGGGCTCAGCATGTACCCCAGGCTGCCCCTGACCATTTGATCCTCTTGCCTCAGCCTCCAGAGTGCTAGGATTACAGGCATGTACTACCCTGCCCAGTTAGTGAGCCATCCCCAGATGACCTTCTGCAAACCTGAAACCCACCCCTCGCCCCCTTAGCTCCGGCCCACATTCTTAGATTTATTTTCTCTGTCATGTTCTTAAATATAATTTACTTGCTTATTTTGTTTGTCTGCCCACTCCTTGTTAATTTCCATGAAGACGATGAGTTTCCTCTGCTTTGTTCTCTACTGTATCCCCAGTAACTGGAACAGAGCCTAGCAATAGTAGACTTTCAAAATACACATTTTACAATACATTATCATAAAAGCTGATGGGCATGGGGTGTTTCAAATACATCAGGCACTGGGGATGCCACACACTCATTTTTCCCTTTCATCATCACAACCACCTAAAGTGCCAGGAACCAAGTTCTAAACCCATCTTAAAGTTGGATAATCAGAGGCTCAGAGAACCAAGGAGCAAAGCCTGGCTGGTAGCCACACAGCCCAGGGGTGGCAGACCAGGTGTGCTCTAGTATCTGCAACCAATTCTTCTCAAGGCCTAGAGACCTCCCAGTCTGGTGGGACTTGTAGAGGCTGGTGAAGCAATAGGAGGCACCCTTGAGAGTCCAACCGCTGCTGCCCAGGCCTGCTTGGCAGCCTGGACACACTCCTGGAGACGGGACCTCCCAGGGCTAGTGCTGGCCAAGTATAATCAGGGGAACTGGGCACTGTCTGGTCGGTCCATGGTCCCACTATGTGGAGGTTGCCAGTGTGATGATTTCAGTGTGCACAGGAGGGGCCTACCTTGCTCTGTGGCTGCTGAGACTCAAAGCTGTAAATCCCCTTCAAGCCCTGAGACAACGTGGCCCTGTACCATGTCCTTCCCATGCATTATGCTATCAGCATCCTCAGGAAGGAAGCCATGTCTTGTTTTTCTATTGAGATACAATTCATATGCTGTAAAATTCACCCTTGCACAGTGTGTGCTATGCTGTTTGCTATGTACATTTTTAAGTGTATTTGTGAGATTGTACCTAGTTCCTAACTACCACATACTAATTCCAGAGGATTTCTGCTATTACAACAACCGCCTCACATGCAGGGGTACCCCCACTTACCTTAGCCCATCACTCAGGTCTGGCAACCACCGTGACACTTTTCTGCACTATAGATTTGGCAGTTATAGAGCTTTCTTATCATGGAATACATGGTCCTTTGTGTACTGCTGCTTTTATTAACAGAATGTCTTCAATGTTCATTCAGGTTATAGCATAAATTAGTTCTTCATTTCTCTGTTTCTTTGAAACAGGCACTCATGTAGCCCAAGTTGGCCTTGTACTTGAGATGTAACCAAGGCTGGCCTTGAACATTTAGAATTTTAAAAAAGTATTTATTTGTATTTTATGTGTGTGAGTGTTTTGCCTGTGTATATGTAAGTGCATCACATTCATGTAGTGCCTGCAGAGGCCAGAAGAGGGCATCAGATCCCCAGGAACTGGAGTTGTTCGCCACTATGTGGGTGCTGGGCACTGAATCCCATCCTCTTTAAGAGCAACTGGTGTTTTTCTCTGCTGAACTCTCTCTCCAGCTCTGAGCTTGAACTCTTGATCCTCCCTTAACTTGTCAAGTACTTGGATCATAAGCATACATCACTACTTGTGGCTACCATTTCTCTTGATAGTTGAATTCTATTCCATTCTATGGCTATTTCACATCCAACATCTGGGTTGTTGGTGCTCTTTGCTTCTTTTTGTGAGGACACATGTTTTTATTTCTCTTGGATACAAACTTGGAGCTGGCTTTGCTAGATTGAATGGTGACTCTTAGATTTAACATTTGAATAAGTACCAAATTATTTTCCAAAGTGATAGTACCATTTTATACTCCCAAGGCACTATTATCAGCATCAACATGTTACACACTAGAAATCTAAAGCACAGAAAAGGCTTTGCCCCTCATCAAATGTCACACAGCAGGGCCAGAATTCATATCCATGCAGTTCGGCTCCAGGATCCTCATTATAGCCCAGGGCTTGGGCAAACTGTAACCACAGCCTTGCCAAATCTGACTGGTTGCACATTTTTGTGCAGCTTGAAACTAAAGAATGGTTTTCACATTTTTTAATAATTGGAGGAATGAAATCAAAACAAGAATATCTTATGACACATGAAAACTCTATGTAAGTCAAATCCCAGTGTCCATAAATAAAGCTTTATTGGACATAGCCACACTTGGTCTTGATGCATGGTCAGTGTTTTAACTAGAACTTCGGGGTAAGTGGTTGTCACGGGGACCATATGGCCTACAGAGCCCAAAATACTTCTGTCTGGCTCTTCAGAAAGAGGGGACGCATGCAGACTCTCTCTGCCACCTGCTGCCTCTGTTGTTCCCAACATGGTGCTGTGAATGAGGCCAGAATGGAGGAAGGAAAGGGTCACAGAGGGTATATAACCATGTGCAAGAGGGTGCAGGGTTGCTTCCTAAAAATAGCACCATGCCAAGGTCTGTGGGATGGACTCCCCTGAATGCAGACTCATAACATAGGCTTTCCCCTACGTTGGCCTTGCCCAGGGCCCCTGCCTACCTCCTGCTCCCTTCCCCATACCCATGTGCTAGCCTCAGCTCAGTGATTCAGGCCTCCAGTCCCAGGAGGAGGCTGCCTACGAGTCTCTGAAGAGCACTGGCTGGCCAGGAGCCTCCTCGTTGCTCATCTACTGCAGCCAATTTGTTCCCCACCAAGGCCTGTGGGATCTACAGGGCTGCTCTGGGTTCCAGAAGCCAGTGAGCCCAAGGCTGGGGATAGTACAGAGTGATGATGCTTCACCTGGCTTAGTCCTAGGGGTGGGCAGACTGGGGAAGGAGCTGAAGGGAAGGAGGCAATGTTCTCAGCTTTTCTCTGCTCCAGAAGATGGGAGAGCTTTGTGCACCCACATGCATATTCCCACATTCTCAGCTTTCCAGAGAAGGGGGAAACTCAGAGGCCACCTCCAGGAAGCCAGATCTCAGCTGTGCAACCTCTAAGTGGCCACTGTCACATCGGCCACCACACCTGCCCCTGCCTCCCAGCAGGGAGGAGGCAGCCAAATGTAGAAAAGGAGCAGGAATTCGTTATGCCTTGGCCACTGACTTGCTCTGTGATGGGGCCACTCAGGACTCTTCCCAGGGCCTCAGCCTGTGAATGTGTAAAAGGCAGTGAGTGATAGACTTTCCCTTGGGGTTTATGGGCAGCACTGGGTGGGCTGGGGTGGAAGAGGAACACCTCTCTGTAAGGACCAAGGCTCAGCAGGTGGAGCCCGCCTGGGAACATGGCCAGGCTCCCCTGCCTTCACATTCCTTTCCCAGGACTCCCTGACCCTGGCCTCCCAGTCACCTCATTACAATCTACCCAGGAATGGAAACACCACCTCCATCTGAAAAGAGGGTAGAAATGTGGTACTGCCTGGGCCCAGGACTCAGGCATTCTGCCTCCAGGCCTCTCCTCTCCCCCTAGATAAATGTCCATAGCTATAGGATTCCTTGGGGAGACACACCTCTTCTCTTTCCTCTGTGTGTCTCTGGTGAGTTTCCTCATGGCTTCAGATAACCAGGCACTGCCAAGGCCACCCAGTCTCTACCTCTGATGGTGATAGCTCCTGAGGGCTCAGCTCTGTGACAGTGACCTCTTTTCCATCCCTGTCTGCATCTAGCAACACCCCAAGGCCCTCTTCTAGCCATGGATCCCTCTCCTGGCTCAGGTCTCTTCTCCTCAGCCTGCCTGACATCTACTGGCCTCTGCACTTCAAGTTCCACTGCAGCCAGCTCCCTGCCCAGGATCTGCCCTAGGACTCCTGCCTGACCTCTGCAGAGTTTGCTGTTCCTTGTCTGGTTTGCTTCTCCTAACCCTGGTAGACCCATAGAGTCTCTCCTGAGCCTGGGGTTGGCTAGACATCTTCTGGGCCTACCATAACTCTGCAGGCCCCACCACTCTTACCTGGGGCCATTCCATTGTGTGTACACTGATGACATGCCTATCTTCCCCATGGAACCATTGGTTAGCCCCATATTTCTAGTGGCTGGCACAAAGCAGGGAGAAGAAGTACCAGAGGCTTGTTAGAGGAGATTCTGCTCACAGAGGTGTGGCTCAGACACTGGACAGATGACACTCGGCCAGTTCTCTGAGACTGGGTTCCTCCCACCTGTCTGAGCCCATCCCTGCCCTCCCTTTCCAACAATGCTAATGGCACCACTCAGCAATGATTTCTGCAAACCACCTCCTAAGGCTGCTGATGCCAGCTGTGTGCCTAAGGAATGCCTTCCTGGGAGATTTTGCCAGTTCTAGGACAAGAGAGGCCCCTCCCCAGATCAAAGTCCTATGTTCTATCTGAACATGTCTCCTCACATAGGGAAAGAAAGTGCTTGCGATAGCGCCCAGGCAGGATGGTGAGGGTGCATTCCCACTCCATGGTCACCTGTCACCTTACCCTCCTGGAATGTACCTGACATGCTCCTGCTCCTCCTCCTTCCTATGACTGCCAGCCACCAGGCCAATCAGGCCTCAGACCATGCTGTTCACTCAAGAAAGGTACGAGAGCCTGAGT